AAGTAGAGAAAATAGAGAGAGAGAGAGAAGAGAGAGAGAGAGAGAGAGAGAGAGAGAGAGAGAGAGAGAGAGAGAGAGAGAGAGAGAAGAGAGAGAGAGAGAATAGAGAGAGAAAGCAAAAGAAAGAAACAGAAAAAAAGCCATCCGTGAGGCGAAAAGGAAAGAATCATAATAAAGAAATTAAAAAAAAAAAGACATAAAAGAAAAACAAGAAAAGAGAGGAACGCAGAAGAGGGAAAGAAGGGAAGAGACGCGGCCCGCTTCCCTCCATCTTCCCAATCCCTCTTCGTTTCCTAGGTGACCACGGGTGCTTGTATGGGTAACAGCGACAGTTTTATCGCAAGCTTCATCACGTATTTTTCGTCGAAGTATTACATTTTAAACGTACTTTGTATATGTATATATATGTGCGTGTGTGTGCTGTGTGTGTGTGTGTGTGTGTGTGTGTGTGTGTGTGTGTGTGTGTGTGTGTGTGTGTGTGTGTGTGTGTGTGTGTGTGTGTGTGTGTGTTTGAATATACAAAATATAAATATATATGGATGTATAAAGTATATATATACACATTTTTTTTTTACTTTCTTCCTTTTCTCTAATTGAACATGTAAATAATTCTACTCCTTCCCCTCCATATCATAACCCATTCCATCGAATCCTCTGCATTTCCACACACACACACAAAAATAAATAAATAAAATAAATAAATAAATAAAAAACAGAAAAATCAAGACGTCGCTCTTACCTTTGTAGGAGTTTTCCATTTTTCTTCGAAGTCTTCTTTCGCCTTCTCGAGGAACTCTTTGACTGCAAGGAAGAAAGAGAGAGAAAACATGAGAAAAGCATATCGTATCCAGTACAGACTATCCTAAAGTTACATTCAATAACACGTTTTATCCCGATCCACAACGACTGAACGTAGGATAACAGTGAGAGGAAAAAAGAAAGGTGAGAACGAAATAAGAGATATGAGAGAAATTAGGGAAAAAATAAAACAAAACTTTTCAAAGTAGGTCTTAAAAATGTAAACAAATAGGAAACAAGGTTAAGAAAGTGTGAAACAGAGATAAAAGACAAAGCAAACACGAAATGAAATGCAGTAAAACACCCCCCCCCCAAAAAAAAAAATGCCTAAAAAGACACACTATAAGAATTCAGCTGAAAATAAAACAAATACAGAGAATATACCCAATTCCCTAGGTGTTAACGGATCATTTGCGATCCCTCTTGGCAGTACCATGAAACAAATAAACACAAAGAGCTAAATCCATAAGAACCCCCCATTTTCACCTCTTACTCCAGCCCCGCCTCCTTCGCCCCCTTCTCCTCCTCCTTTTCTTCTACTCCCCCCCCCCCCCGTGAGCCACCCTCACCCTCCTTTGCTCCCTAATTTCCATCCCACCAGTCCCTTGCTCCTCATCCTCTCCCACATCCCTCTTCCCTCCCTCACCTCACCTTCCTCCACCTCCCTCACCTCACCTCCACCTTACCCCACCCAACTCCAACTCCACCTCCACATCCACCTTTAACCCACACCTCAACTCCAACCCATCCCCACCTCCACCTCCAACCCACCCCCACCTCCACCTCCAACCCCACCCCCCACCCTACCTCCACCCCCATCCCAACCCCCCCACTGCTAAGAGCCCTTGGTAAACCCGACAGTAGCTTCACGACAACCCAAAACAGCGATCTACCCTAGGCTTAACGATGGATCAATGTATCATCAATTTCCCTCGGCGCACGTGTCTCTCTACGAACACCTATCCCCCCCCCTCCACTCCTCAGCCCCCCCCCCTCACTGCCTCTCTCCTTCCCCCTCTTCCTCTCCCCTTCCTTCCCCCCCCACTTCGCTTCACTAGAAATGGCCGTGAAGATATTCCCCTGCGGAAAAGGAAGAGGGAGGAGGGGCGAGAAGGAGGGGGGAGGTGGAGGAAGGAGGGAGGAGGGGGGGGAGGGGGGAAGAAGGAGCAGGAGGAAGAAGATAAGAGGAGAAAAAGAAGGGGGAGGGGGAAGAAGAGAAGGAAGGAAAGGGAGATACGGCAAAAGGACAGGACAGGAAGAGGCATAGGAAAGAGAGGGGAGAGGTGGTAGGGAAGGAAGAAACAAGGGTAGGGTTGGGGGAGTGGGAGGAGGGAGGCGCAGGAAACAAGAACACGGACGAGACGATGAGAAGTGGAGATGGAGAAGAGGAGGAAGAGCGAGAAGAAAAGGAGGAAGAGGAGAAGGAAAAGAATAAGAAAACGAAAGGAGAAAGAGGAGGAGGGGGAGGAGGAAAAGAATGATAAGAGGAGAAGGAAGAAGGAGAAGAACGAGAGGGGGAAATGATAAGGGAAGGAGAAGGAAAAGAATACGAAGAATGGAAGGAGAAAGAGGAGGAGAAGGAGAATGAGGAGGAGAAGTAGAATGACAGGAGGATGAGAAGATGTAAAAGGACGAGGAAGAACAAGAACGAAAGGAGACGAAGAAGGAAGAGAAGGAGAAGAAGAAGAAGAGGAGGAGGAGGAGGCGACGGAGGGGCAGCGATAGCATCAGCTCGGCCACATCGGCGCTTGTATCCGGTTACTAAGTGGTAGCACACCGCACTTGCCGATCAATAACCTTCTGTTTGTCTCCCCCCCCCTCCCTCCGTGCCTGCACCACCTCGCACACCCTTGTCCACCCTTTCCTTGGCACCCTCGCCACCGCCCGCCCCATTCTTTTCTTTTTACCTTCTTCTAAAAATAAAAAAAAGAAGAAGAAACCGTATTGCTCTTATCCAGGCGTGTCGTTCCATAGGCCTACATTTACAGCGAGAAGGAAAAGGTCGAACGGTGTTTCGCTCCTCTCCCTCCCCCCACCCCTATGGGATCCCCCTTATGGACTTGCTGCCCCCTCCCCCCCCCCCTCCCTCGCACACTGGTCCCTATCTCCCCTCTCTTGGCGGCCGTGCGAGCAAGAGAAACCTGGGAATAAAAAAGAGGCAAACACATGATTACGAATATGTGGATGCGTATCTTCTCAGGCAGAGCATGTACGTGCGTTCGCTCACATCACACAAACACACACAGAACACACACAGACACACACCACACACAGACACACACACACACACACTGGCACACGCACACGCACACGCACACGCACACACACACAGCACACACACACACACACGCACAGACGAACCGAGAAAGCAATAAAGAGAAGACAGTAGCAACCCGACCGCTAATCAACCCTAGCCCGCCCACGCCGCCCACGCGAACGGATATCTGTGTAGAAGCAACGCAATTAGGCTCGGTCGGCTGGACGGGCGGCCGCGCCCATTCGCCCAATCCAACGCGAACGCCTACTCAAAGGCCACGCGGCGCCACGCACAACGCCCCATCAATTTCTGTGGACGCTAATCGCCCCTGAAATCCAAACAGAGGCCATCCCACGCCCACGGGATCCTGTGCGGCCGTTCACACTGGTTATGCATCAACTGGGCTACTTGAAACTGCACGCTCGCGCAAGCTTTTCTTTCTCTCTCTCTCTTTCCTCGCTCTCTCTCTTCCCCTCCCCTCTCTCCCCCCCTCTCTCTTTGTTCCTCCCTCTCTCCCTCTCCTGTCTCTCCAACAGGACTACGCACACACCTAATCCTAAACACCTTGCAGAACTCCTGAAGTATCATTCACTTCCACCATTATGCCCAATAAACCCTGCCCGCCACAAAGCCCGATACACACACACACACACACACACCACACACACACACACACACACACACACACACACACACACACACACACACACACCACACACACAACACACACACACACACACACAACCTCGCTCCTTGCCCCCCCCCCAACCTGCAAAGACCAGCATGCCGCCGCCGTCAGTATCCTCACAAGTACCTTCCGATATTTCCCCGAACTGCTGCGTGCGCCCTCCTCTCTGCTGGCCGCGGAAACATTGCAAACAACTTCCTTTCTCTCCCCATCCCCTTATTTCGCTCTCTCTCTCTCTCTCTCTCTCTCTCTTCTCTCATCTCTCTCTTCTCTCTCCTCCTTCTTCTCCTCTCCTCTCTCCTCTCTCGCTCTCTCTCTCTCTCTCTTCTTGCTCTCTTTCTCTCTCCTCTCTCTCTTCTCTCTCTCTCTCTCTTCTCCTCTTTCTCTCTTTCTGTCTCTTCTTCTCTCTTTCTTCTCCTCTCTCTCTTTTCTTGTCTCTCATCTTTTTCTGTTTCTGTCCTGTCTCTCTCTTCTCTCCTCTTCTCTCTCACTCTCTCTTTTCATTCTTCTTTGTTCTCCCCCCCCTTCTCTCTCGTCTCCCTCCTCTCCCCTTCTTCTTCTTCTTCTTCTCTCTTCATTTGTCTGTCTGTCGGTCTGTCTCTGTCTCTCTCTTTCTCCGCCTCCTCTCTACCCTCTTCCCTCCTCCTACCTACCAGGCCGGAGTAATCAATACTCCTCCTGTCTGCCTCTCACGGCTGGCTGGCGCTCTCTCTCTCTCTCTCTCTCTCTCTCTCTCTCTCTCATCTCTCTCTCTTCTCTCTCTCTCTCTCTCTCCTCTCTCTCTCTCTCTCTCTCTCTTCTCTCTCAATTTTCTATCTCTCATTCTTACCCTACCCTCCCATCTCCCTACCATCTTCCCACTCCGCTCCTCTCCTTCTCCCTCTCCATTCCCTCTTCCTCCCCCTCCCCATCCCTCTCCTTTCTCCCTCTCCTCCCTCTCTGTAACTGCACACTCCTCGAGTCAACCCCGAGCTGCCTTTGCCTTCCTAAGCGCTGAAGTTACAATGCTGTTGAATCAGGTGTGCTCCGCCCCCAGATCTTCCTCGGCTCGCTCCCGGGATACGATTAAAGATAATAATGATTTAAAAAGACATCGAAATCAACACCGCGGTGAAAGAGAAACAGAAAGAGAGAGAACGTGAGGGAGAGGGGAGAGGGAGGGAGAGGGGGGAAAGGGGGAGAGAGAGGAGAGACGGAGGGATGGGGAGGGGGGGAGAGGAGGGAGAGAGGAGAGAAAGAGAGAGAAGAGAGAGAAAGAGAGAGAGAGAGAGAGAGAGAGAGAGAGAGAGAGAGAGAGAGAGAGGAGAGAGAGGAGAGAGAGAGAGAGAGATGAGAGATCTTCTCCCTCCTCTCCCCTCCCCACTACGTACTATAACACAACGTCCTTCTGTTATTACACCATCATCGAGAAGTTGCAATAACCAAAAAAACAAACAAACAAACACATTCCCTTCCATTCCCGATCTGTCTATTTATGGACTTCCGCCGCACTCGTATGCACTCGCACGTAGGCAAGCGCAAAGGCGAAGGAAAGAGGATAGGCAGAGTGAAGGAGGGGAAGGAAGGGTGACGAAACAGGGGGGGGGAGGACTGGAAGGGCAGGGAAACGACGAAGTAAGGAAAGGAGAGAAAGAAGAAATGGAGGGAAGGAAGCCAAGGAAAGGAAAGGAAAGGAATAGAGAAAAAAAGGAGTGAGAGACGGTGGGAAAGGAGAAAGGGGCAAAAGAGGAAAGGAATGAGATGACGAAGAAAAGGGAAAATGAGAGGAGAAAAAGAGAAACGGATACATGGAAAGAGAGCGAATCCACGTTAACACTGCGACCCTTAATCCGCTCGTTTGTCTAGCCACTTCTTAATCTTCTCGCATTATTCCAACTCTTTGCGTCTCTTGACCTTTCTTTCTCCCTCTCCAAGCCTCCTCCTCCTCCAGACATCTTCTTACCCCCTCGCCACCTCCCTCCTCCTTCTCTTCCCTCCCTCCCTCCCTTCCATCCTCCTTACCACCCCCTTCTCCCTCCCACTCCCTCCCTCCCTCCCTCCCTCCCTCCCTCTCTCCTT